TGAAGGTGATGGTGCAGAATAAGATCTAGGTAAGATGTAATAGTTTTTATTAATATATTTCAGGAACTTTTGGTTTGCACCATGTATATTCACAGACATTTTGTTTGCAAGCTGTTTCTGGCAAAAGTCTGGAAGACTTGTGTTTCTCTTTCAATTTGTCATTTCAAAATTATTTCACTTCATCACACAAAAAGACCTCCAATACACTGCTAGCTTGTGGTAATAGATATGATCCAAACATCTGACTTGCTAAAATACACTTCCTGTGACCACAATTGCATGTTTTATTTACTCACTGAAAGTACAATTCAAATCCTCCTACCCCATACTGCTGCTTGAGATACAAGATACCGGATGTCACCACACTGCCGAGAAACTCCAAATGAGTAACATACTGAAAATTATTGACATGATGACTGAAGAAGACAGCCATTGCTTGTTAATGGCTTGATAAACATGAATCTGCAGCAACAGATATGTGCACAACAGAAGAGTGTGTTGGGAACAATGTTTGCTACACGGTCTGTAGGGGGTAGTGACTTACTGTATACAAAGATTTCAATATACTACAGTGACACAGAATAAAAAGTGTCATGCAGCAATCAAATAACGATGCAGAACCATAACAAGGCCTTAGAATTTTACAGACTAAGGACACAACCAATCCAACACCACTGCAATAAATCCTGCATAACTTGAAATAATGCATAGAAACTTACAACACTGCCAGGTTACTTATCAAAAGTCTGTGCTTTATGTACTAACTCTGATAATATGGTTTGCTCGAGCTTCGTGCATTTACCTGAACTTGTTCTTCTTCCAACTCCAACCTGATGTCATTTAGTTCTTTCTCTATCGATGATTTCTACGCAAAATTAAAATAAAAGCAAACATAAATTCAATACAGACACATGCTCTTAGTTTATTTTGTAAGCAAGATATAGCTAATGCTGTCAACAATCTAGCAAAGCATGACAAAATAAATCAAAGCTCTTTCCAAGTCTCAAGGAACATATTCCTGTTTCAACTGAATAGTTTTGCTAATTAAACATATCATCTCCATTTATTGACTTTCTATGGAACAGGAATCCCTTCCAAGAAGATTAAAGGAAAATTCTAAAAACATTTTGTCAGAACATTTTTTGTAACAAATTTAAAGAGAAATATGTTTCTCTAAGGAAAAAGCACAACTCAATATATGTAATACATTTATATAGTCTTCACTTTTTCATCACCATTCTAAACCAGCCATTCAAACAAACAAACAAACAAAACAAACAGTCTAATCTGGTTCCATATTATCCAAGATGAACTGTTATGAGATTATGCCCATCCTTAATTTAGGAAAGCCTAGATTTCAAATGCAGTATGGAAATGGTCTTCAACTGAACACTCGAAGTCTTTCAACAATAATTTAATTACATCTGGCATACACTGTCACTTTCAAATATACTGACTCCCACCTCATGGGCAGAAAAATGTGTGGATGCACATACATACACAGAGTATGAAAAAAAGAGAGTCCACACAATAATTTAATTCTTTATCTAACAAAAGGTTCAAAATAATTTTTCAACTCCTTCAAATTCACTAAAATTCAAAGTTTTACATTACCTGAAGTGAACTTTTTCAATTTTCTCCTGCTAACTTCTTGCCAACTTGCAAAGCAAAAATGGACTAAATCCAATGTAAAATTTTGACATAACCATAAGGAAGCCTACAACCAGAATTCAGGTTTTAGGAATTTCAGAATGTCACCTGGAGACAACTTTAGGAAAAGGTAGTACTATAAAATTCTTTATTGGAGTCCATCATAACACAACATAATGGTCAAGGTTAAAATTACCTTAGCTACATGTTTCGGCTTTTAAAGCCATCATCAGGCAAACACATGATTACTACATTGACACACTATTGAACTGAAATTTTATTATATTTATTTTTACACCAGGCCTTCAGAAAATAGAACATTACAAATCAACATGGAGAAAGGTTTGAAAAAGTTGAAAACCTCTACTGTGTTCAAACATGCCTTCAAATCCATATATGTGTCTGCTACAGAACTATCTGCATAATTACTTGAAGAATACATACTGCTCTGCCCATACAAAATGATGCTTGGATATGCTTCTGTATACCACAAATCTTACAATCACCAATATGCAGAAAAGTAGATTAATCTTTGTCAATGCAAGCACAGGCTTCAATGAACAGAAGATATATACAAAAATGGGACGAAAGTTTTGTCTTGAACAAATGCTAATACCCGCAATACTAGGCCACCAACTTTAGACCAATATAAGATTTGATAAATTGTTTTTTGAACCTGAGGTCAACCACAATAGCTATATAGAGAAATGCATGCTGTCTGAGCATGTGTCAATTTCCCATCTGAAATGATTCTAATGTGGTGTCCACATAAATTTCTAACGCAAAAGGAAAACTAACTCAATGCAGATTTAATGTAAAATAACAACTAATTCAATGCAGAACCTAACATTTTTGCATGTGAGAGATGTTCCACTTTTATTCTGGTACGGTTTTTTAAGAAGTAGAAAAAACCTGGCAATTTCATGCAATATATACAGTGATATTCTGATAAACAGGGGTGAAATTAAATTACAGAAAAATACAAATCAGTGTTACATTCACATTCCCAGGCACCAAGCAGAAATAATTAAAACTGTAAAGGAGTACAAGCCCATCATAGCAAGCATTACACACAGTCACAAATAAAATAAAGACAAATTTTACTGCAGAGGGCAGACTATACCTGAGTCAACTGAATGTCAGACATTTAAACTGAAATTATGAATTGCTCAACTATTACTGTGATATTTTTAGGCTTCAGTCATGAAATCAATATCATTCACCTGTTAAATTCATTCATAAACTGGCCTTTTATTATGAATGCACACAGTGTCAAAGATGTAAAAACAGTTTTTAATGTCAAAAATCATCTGCTACAAACCGGTTCAGAGTCCTATAGCACGCATCTGTAAATGTATTAAACCATGGGTCTCATAAGAGCAGGGAAATTAATATAAAAGGGAAATATATGTAAAGTTACAAAAGTGCATAACTAAGACTACATTGGCCTTTAGGGCTGCGATAAAATATTACAATTATGTTATTTCATGTGCCTTGTACTATTCTAATGTACTGCAAGAAGATTCCTTTTCTTGTAATAGCATAAATTATTCTTATTCCTTAAATACTGTTCAGTGACCTAAAAATGTGGTTAAACACAATGATACATACAATTTACACAGTTACAACACTATGAACAAAAAAGATAAAATGTACTGATTACAGCTTATGATTAGAATAATAGTGACAATGCACATGCTGTTTCCAGCAGCCAGCTTCAAAGGTTACTATTATATCAGGCAGTGCAAGCTAAGTGCCACACTGTATGAAATCTTGTTACCTGTCCTTTGAGATCATTCAGGCGTTTCTGTGCCTCTCCCTTTTGGTTCTCCAGCTGTTTTAGTGTTGCTGCCAATGTATCGAGTTCACTCTGTGCAGCCACAAAAATAACAACTTTCAGACAGGATATACAACTACCAGCAAATTCCTTTATTATATGATTATATGTTCCAAGCCTACCCCACATTAAATTCTCTTAAAACAATCATATTTCACACAAACAGTACACATATTTATGACATTCACTTTCTCATTTTATGGTCACTATCTTAAAATTATCCTGCATGGAGACAAATGCGTAAACTATTCACCTCAGGAGTGTTCTTCAAAATATTATATGTCTACTCAATATTTAATTATGCTCTAAACGTTTTAAGCACCAAATACATTAGATCTGTGTATGCATAGCAACAGTCATTATATGTGGGAAGATGAATAGAGCAAAGCCAATAGGTTCTCATGTATAATTATAAAGCACATATGAAAGACTTCTGTGCAACAAATTTCACATTACACAGAAATAAAATAAATTCATATAAACATACAAAAACTGAAAATGTCTGACCTTTACTCCAAATGAATATGATTTTAGAAGAGTGGCATTACTTAATCCAAGGTACATTCAAATCCTTGCTGCAAGAGTTAATATAAGATTTGCAAAGGAAAATTTCTAAAGACAAAAAAGTTTATGGTTATTTTGATGGGAAAATCTAAATGCAGTGGGAAGGAGAACTTTTATGAGAAATCTAGTATGAAAGTTCCACAGCACCTGAAGAGGCTGCTGTTGACATATATCCTATCAGCACCAAATTATATTCTCTAACTGAATTTGAGGTTCTCACAAACACGACTATAAAGAGTGCTGTAGTGGCATGTGGTACTAAAATGATGAGTGGTTCAGGAGAAGTTCACCCATGTACTGGAATAAAGAAATGGGCTCAGCTTACTCCCTGCTTCTGCAACAGTTGTGCTTGTCACCTGCGTCTTGTTGGTTTCTTGTTGATTTACTCTTTGATGCTGAAGATGGAGGTAATATGGTCCTTCAAAATATCAGTGAACATCTGCTGAACCACATGGTGTTATATTCCAGGCTCTATATTATCCCTTAGGTTCCTTTATAGTGATGAAATGGGAGTTCTGTACATATTCTCACTGGATTATGCCATTCATGATCAGCCAGTCACACTCTGCAACTGCTTCAAATTTAGTCACAACTAATAGATATGCTACATCATGAATGTGAAAGGAACGAGAGATTGTTTTTAGAAGTCTTTACAATCAAAGTGGAAAATACTCTGAAATGGTCCTCTGGTATACGGCTTTCAACTATCCATACCCAAAAACACTTCAGTAACAAAACATTTCAACTCCTTATAAGAAATGTAAGAAAAAATGTGTTCATTTTATGAAGAGCCGCTCAGGCCCAACTAGTCCTATTGAGCTAAGCTGACAGAACTGTCACCTACGATAAGATACTTACCTGCAAGCTTTTTATTTCACCATTCTTTATTTTAATATCTGCTTCTTTCTGTGCTATGTCAGTCTCTAGTATATGTTTTTCCCTTCCAAGTTCTTCAATGTCTTTGGTAATCATGTCTAATTCTGGATTTGAGTATGGAGCACTGTTGTTTTCCTATGGAACAATAAGTATGCCACAGACATTTAACATTAAATACGATCAAAACTGATCTGATTTTCACAAATAAAATAAAATGTAATCAAATAAAACATATACCAAAGGCAATATTCATATTTTAATTAATCCCATACATACATATAATGCGTGATCCCACACTTCTAACAAAAATAACAAGACTGTAACCCTACAGTCATTTCCAGTGTCATACATACATAAGGAATGGGCCTAACTGCTGGTCTTTGCACCATGACGTTTCATGATCTATTGTGCACATGTCTCTATTTTAACCCTTCAACAGTCCTACCCTTCAAATGAAGTGTAAGATTCTGCTTATAGGGGAGTCATGATAGGCCTATGGTTCCATAAAACAGGGGCCCAGGTGATGAAAGCTTAACTGCAGTGACATACCTCACAGAGTTTCCATATCTGTGTGGTTCTCATGCGATACCTCATGAACGTTAAGGCAAAACAAGTTTCACCTTGGGGACTTCTTTTGAAATACACGGTCAACCTCTCAAGTATCACATACAAAAATTTTCACACAATGTACAAAGAAATTCTACGTATTCCACTGTTTTCATTTGTTCCATTGCAAATGAAAAACGGTACACAAATTACGAAAAAGCTTTGCTGACTATGGTTTTTTTTTTCTTCAAATATCCAAAAGGTCAACCAAGCACAATGTTCAAAGACATCTACTACAATTCATATCACGGCAAGGTATTAATGTCTGAATGAAATTCTAGGCTGAAAACTTTCTTCTTCTCACCAATATGTTTCCACTGAAAGACCAAAAAATGACAATTAAATTCATTATTTAGTCCCCTTCCAGATCAGGTACAGGACCAGCAACATACCTCTGACCACCCACAAGAGAGGAAACTTAAACAGATCAGCCTTCAGCTCATCAGTAAAGACAGTTCAGGTATGGTACAAGAGAAGATAAAAATTAGGGTGCCAGAAAATACCCACTGATCTAGACATTTATTTAAGCTTGCAGAGTAAAGTAAAAAAAAAGTAAAGCTATCCCTGTAACAGGCCGTGAAGGCCCATAGGGTTGTGAGACGTTGAGGGTCTCACATTTTCTAGACAATCGGCTCAAAGATGGCGGTAAGGTTGTCAGCCCTAAGTTCTGGCCGCCCTTTACCCTCAAGAACATTCCAAGAATATTCCTGGTACTCATATCTGTTTGAGGCTGAGTCGACCCCAGGGCCATAGTGCGGCTGGAAGGATTAGGTCACTTGAAAAAATCCAATGACCTCAACGGGACTTGATTCCGCGACCTACCAGCTTGTAGCATAGTGCCTCAACCAACTACACTACTGCGTGCCCCCCAAGCTTGTAGAGTACAAGATAATATTAAATTCAAATCATTAATATTTCACTACATTTCTAGTCACTGCAAAGAAAAAAAAAATGAACATGACTTCACTGGTGGATCACTTCCATTCACCCAACGGCCACTGTCATGCACAAAACATATAAGTTGAAACATTATGTGTGGTATGAGTTATCGGAAAATAAGTTGGGATTGTTCCATGAAAACTGTACAAAATGTGAAGCTCCTTAAATCCAAAATTATATCCTCATTATTTTACGCGTAAAAGTCCCCAACTAGTTCGAGTTCCACAAAATATCCAATATTTTTAGAGAGAGTTTTGACAGTAAATAAGCATTAAAATAGGTCAGTATTAACTGTTGCAAATAAAACCGCATTATTTTATAAATAAAATGATGGGCAGGGTGTTAGCACCACAAAAATGGTTTCTATTTCACTCATATTTTGGCCTGGATAGTCCATTGTCAAGTGACACACGCGAAATGTACGATAACAAAATTATATAAAACTACAGTGCTAGCATAAGTCTGAAAGTTTTGTTAGTTAAATTAGGACGGATTTCACCATTTATAAAATAAATTTGAAGAATTAAAGACATACATGTATTACACTTGAAAATTACGCACGGTGGACAAACGGTGGACTTGGTAGCGTTGGAAGTAATGTGGGTGGGGTCATCTGCTTTCCCCACCACCCTCAGCTTACGAACTTCTGTTGTCCGCTAAGTGAAAAACTGGCACAAACTAAAACATTTAGTTGTTGGAAAATTTGTAAAATGAGTGAGAATAAAACGAGGGCTAGGTACTGTGACTGGCTACAGTATAGACAACTTGAGTTCGATTCACGGCAAATGTATGCATTTTTCCTTGGACATATCACCTGGAATGGGTATAGGGCGCATACTGCCTCACAACCAACGAATACCAAAGGCCGCTTGCCGCTGCCATAAAATTAAACATCTCTATGTAATGCTAACCTTGTGTGAATGTGTGATGACACACCTCCAGACATTTTCGTGGTGTGCTTAATACACGCACAGATTTGTAACACGTAACAATGGAGTAACTTGGAAGCGGTGTTCTCTATGCTGTCCGTGCAATAACTACGTGTTGCATAATGTAGCTATCGCACGGACCGCGTTGCGGCCATTATCTAGCGACAGCTGTTGTATAGCTGCTTATTTCGCGGTCGTTGCCTAGAAACAAGTCTACATTAAGCATTGTTAAACTTGTGCCCGTTATTAACAACCACACCATGAAGATGTATGGAGGTGTATCTTACACATTCACACAAGCTTAGCATTATATAGAAGTGTTTCATTTTCTAGCAGCAGGAAAGGGCCTTTGGTATTTGTTACTTGCAAGGCAGGATGCACCCCAGAGCCATCCCAGGTGTGACAGCCAAGTAAAAATGCATACATTTGCCATGAATCGAACCCAAGTTATCCATCCTGTATCCAGTCACTATACACTTAGCCCTCGTTTTATTCACAAACAATTTATGAATTTTACAACCATTAAACGCATTAATTTGTACCATTTATTCACTCAGCGGACAACAAAAGTTCGTATGGTGCGGGGTGGTGGGATAAGACAGAAGGACTGTTGGGATAGGCGTGATCTGTGCAGGGGTATTATCAGCAGGACAAGTCTAGAGTTTAGTTAGTTGGGAGAGACTCAGTGGCCAGTAACGACCTGAATACAGAAGGTGAGGAAGTTATGATGCTGAAAGCCATTACCAGGCGATAACCAGTGAAGATACAGCAGACTGAGAAGACTTAGTGCATGTTGTTGTGAATTGTTGCGTGTGACTTGATGATAACGCTATAGTTACTTGTAGTTACGATCTAAGTTTCAATGAACCCAGTTACCAATCAAACTCCATCTATTGTCACTCATACATGTGACAATACATTAGTATGAAACTGTCACTAAGAGCCCGATATATGCAGACAGCCCAAATCTGCAAAGTATTACTGAGGTGCAAAAATGATTAAAATACAAAAATAATTTTAAATTTGTTCCCACAGCTGGTGACAAGGGGTTGTACCTTGAAAAACATCATCTTGCTATTAAGTGACTCTGCCTGCCTATCTGAAAAACTGCTACTGACCTTCACCTGCACATTCATTCTTGGTGGAAGTGCAGTATTTTCTGTATGACGGAAACTCAATTTGTAAATATCATTTGCATGAATTCCAGCCTTAGGTACTGTATGTTGATGCACAAATTCTAATGAACTAAGTAACTAAGAAACCAGACACATTTAATGAATTATTTAACTAGGCAACCAGAAAACAATTCCAATAAACTAAGTATCTAAGCAACCAGAAAACACTTACAATGAAGTGTAGCCAAGCAACCAGAAAACAATTACAATGAACTGTAGCTAAGCAACCAGAAAATCTCAAATATCACAGCAACTACTGTTTTTAAGAATTGAAGTGTGCTGGCAAAGACCAGCAGCAATCTAACTGACTGACAATGGATCAAGTTATTATAAAAAGAACCGTTTATTTTACATACTATTACCAAGCATTATGAAATTCATGATTGTTTGCTGCATTATCTTGGTCCTCATACAGCAACCAAGTGAGGCATTCTTTACCAAATTAAAGCAGAATCTCAGAGATTTTCTTAGGAGAAGGACACAACCAAAATTCGCAGAATTCCCTTCGGAATCAGGTCTAGAGTACCCTGGCAATGATCCTCAACTTCGACAGGAGATACGGCAACTATGGGAAAAATATTATGCTTGCCTGCAAGAGAAATATGATTCACTTGGACCACAAAAATCACTGATGCCAGAAGCTGTTATGGTGTTTGAAGGCTCTTCTGTAAGGTAACAAACAAAACCTCTCTTTCAAAATATACGTACAACTAAGAGAACATGGGTTGATTCCCACACATTAAATACCATTTTATTTGAATCTTTAAAAATAGCTGTCATAATATTGTGTGTGCACTAGCAGTGATCCTACTAGACAAAAGAGAAACTACACATAACCTGCAAAGATACATCATCCTAACTCTAGCAGACACACCTGAGTGAAACTCCGATACAAGAATTAAAATGATACATGAGTGAAAAAAATTATACGAGTTATGCCACTGGGCATAACTCATTCACGAGCCAGTACTTATTGAGCACATACATTCACTGCATATTCTGCAGATTATGTATAATAAATGTGTGTGGAGGGTGTGAATATTATGGGAAAAGTTCATTAGTAACATATGCAATAGCATGTTTTACATTGAAAGCAATATTCTAAATGTAACAAAAATTACTTTTCCGAGGATCGTACTGAAAGTCATGAGCAACAGTTTTTGTAACGTAACATGCTTTATTATTGACAAACCAAATACACCACCTCAATCTACAGACCCTTCTTTATTATTCCACATAATAGCCACTTCTTTGTACACATTTCTCCCAGCGTTCTGGGAGTTTGAAAATTCCCCTTCTGTAAAATTCTGTTCCAGCCATCCGAAGACACTGACACACTGCTTTCTGAATTGCCTCCCTTGTCTCAAAATGTTGCCACGCAGCTGATCCTTCACAAATCCGAAAAGATGGTAGTCGAGGGTGCCAGATCAGGGCTATAGGAGGGGTGTGGAAGAACTTCCCACCTCATCTTTGCAATTGCTTTCAA